CCTGGCTAGAGTGAGTGCCGTGGCGTTAGCGTAGCTCACAGCAACCTCAAACTCCTGGGCTCAAGTGATCCTACTGCCTCAGCCTCCCAAGTAGCTGGGATTACAGGCATGTGCCACCATGCCCGGCTAAAGGTTTGATTGAATTCTGTTCCACAGTTTATATATGAACTCATGTGTAATATATAGTTCTTACAATGGCAACATATTTTAACAGGGATATTAATGAAAGTAGTTTGTTTTGAGAGGCAGGTGATCAGGTTAAGATGATGAATTTTGGAACAGTAATAGAAAATTAAAATCTCTGTGTATGTGAGTGAGTGTATGTGTGCCAAACAATACTCAGCTTATCATCCCTTCAACATAAATATTTATTGATTGTCCACTATGCGTAAAGCTCTGTGCTAAGTGCTGAGGATAGAAAAATAGATCTGAGGAGTTTATAGCATGTTGCTGGCTGTACACACCCATAAAAAGGAGTGATAATTTAAGGAGGCACGTGCTAAATGGCACATGAGTAACGCAGTCAGTGAGGGCTGCAAACAGCAACTACGTTCCGACATTCACAGCCCTGTGATTGTGCCAGGGTCTCCGCTGTCAGACAGAAGCTATGTGTGTTTGGTTCTTCCTTAACCTTTCACACATTTCTCATCCTCAGCTAGTCTGAAAGACAGGAGCTTGTGGTTTTTTTGTGCTCAATAGTAAAGAAATAGCCATTCCAGGAAGGAACAGGATTAAGCTCTTGAAGCATACTACTAATATGTTTACTTACTGTCTTTCAATACCTCTTGTATTTAAAAACAATAGGATCTAATTCTCTTCCAGGAGGATGCACTGTGAAACTGCTTGATTCCTGATGCTATTTTATTGTAATGAAAATGAAAGTTCTCTTGAGTTTTGTGATACTTACATTCATGGGGTTTCACATGAATCAAAATCTTCTTAGGTTGGCAGTTTGATAAATAAATGTTCCTTCCTTATAATGGAAATGGGGTGTGATGATGATCATTATATTATTATTATTGAAAGAGTAATTCATTTTTGTACCCACATCATGAAATAGGCTTATTTCTCTTTTGTCAATATAGTTCTTGGTACCTAACCATGAAATGGGCCACATGGAAGGATTTCTAAAATGAAAGCTGTAGATCAGAAATGTCAGAATAATGACCCTGTTTGTATATTCTTGACTACTTGTTCTGGGGCTACCAAGGTTTTGCCCTTCGGGATTGTGACAGAATTTTTATACTGCTCAGTAGAAGGTAGTTCCTCCAATCTAAAGAAAAGTGACGGCTTCTTTGTGGCAGAGCCATGAGTATTACCAGGTCCCCTGACAGTACCAGAATAGTGCTCACAGAATCCTGGACTTTCTTGGATCTGAAAAAGGCATTAATCACTTGCAGGCAACCAGTAGTTTTGAATAGTGGGCAAGATGTGTTGGAGTAGAGATCAGAGAAGAAGGTGCTGTGTAAGGAGGAATGATATACATTAAAATACAGAGGATGGAGTGAGCACACTGTGTTGTTTGGGGAACATTGAGAAGAGTTCCCTGACTGGAATAAAGAGATTATATTCCCAGTGGAGATTAGTGAGAGGAAAAGTTGGAAAGGTGAGAAGGGGCCAATCAAAGGCCAAATTCCTTATACTGATTTTGTAAGCAAAGGAAAGCTACATATCAGTTTTGGGGATCAGTTTAGCATCAGATAAGCCTACAGCCAAATCTGAACTCTGCTTTTTATTGGCTAGGTGACCTCAGATGAGATACTTAGCTTCACAGAAGTCTTAGGTTCTTCAACTATAAAATAGAATTGATAATATCTTCCTCATTGAAATATTGTACAAGATAAACAAGATCCTGTATGGAAGCCCTCAGCAAAGTGCCTGGTGGAAATACAGTCCCTGAGCAGGGCAGTGGGGAGATCAAAGGGGGTTATAGGGAGACCAGTCACTGGCCACTATATGTAGAAGAGATGACATCAGAAGAGACCAGAGGCAGGGGACCTGTTAATGACATTTACAGTAATCTGCCAGGAGGCGAAGGGATGGAGGTTGTCACATTAGGAAGAAGAGGACAGACACATCTATACAACTCCACTCTCTGTAACTTCTTTGTTATTGGAGACTTCATTTAACTTGAGCATTGTGTAACCTTGTTCTGTGGTGTTAAAAGTACAATAATCATAGATTCTTTCTTTTGCCTTGAACAGGGTGCCAGCGAGCCATAGGTCTTTCCAACGGGAAAGCCAAGGTGTGCAATTACAGTGGGTGGTATTACTGCAGCACCTGCCACGTGGACGACAGCTTTCTCATCCCGGCTCGCATCGTCCACAACTGGGATACTTCGAAATATAAGGTAGGTACAAAAACTGGGTTTGCTTAATCATAGGAATTCAGGTGTTCACATGTTGTCAGGTGGATTATAAAAATAATGATAAAATAATTTGAAGCAAACTTGATTAGGTAGTCTCGCAAAAGCTATAAGATCTTATCTAATACTTCTCCTATATCTCACAGATTAAAGGCTTCTTAACTATGACTCCTATTAATTTCCTCATTTAAAAAGATATATATCTCAGTTTTTACTTCTGGACCTTGGTAATTAACTGTAGGTGCTAAGAGAGAATTCTGATAGAGAAAAAGGCCTCTCATTAATTTTTATTAGATCTTATCTCCAATATCACAACACTAGGGGAAGATAAAAATGGAAAAACAATACATGCTTGAGCATGGTAGTGATCTTTCAAGGAGAGGATTCGTATAATCCAAGGTATTTCTTATAGTACAGTAGTACTCGTACTCATATGAAGGTCAGTCTCCTGGCAAATCCAGGCTTCTGGAACTGGAACCTTGAAAGAAGCTATGAAGACTTCTCTGTGGGGTCCCACAGCAAGAAACAGTATGCTGAGCCATCCTCAGACCTTCCTCAGGTCTGTTGTTTTTTTAAAAGAGGAGGAAGTGAGAAACACAGGTATATGCCAACAGCTTTGCAAAGTAACTGCTAACAGCCAACGAGGATATTTAAGAAGTATAAATAGCAGGCTCCGTAACTACACAAATGCAAGTCAACAGAGGAGAAGAGGAAGACTGAACCCTGGGACTCTCCAACTGAAGAGGGGAGAAAGATGAGGAGGAACCAGCAAAGGAGGCCAAGAAGGAGTGAGCAGTGAGGTAGAAGGATCCCAGGGTGTCTGACAAGCCATGGGAAGAAAGTGTTTCCAGATGAATTGTGACAGATGGTGATAGGTCAAATAAGATGAGCACTGAGAATTGACCATTGGCTTTAGTAACGTGGAGGTAATTAGTGACCTTAATGAAAGCAGTTTGAATGGAATGGTGGGAGCAAAGGTCTGAATGGAGTGGGTTTAACATAGAATAGGAAGAGAGAAATAAGAGACAAGAATAGATGACTCTTTTGAGAAGTTTTGCTATAAAGGGAAGGTGAGAGGTCAGGAGTAACTCAAAGGGAAGTGGGGTCAAGTTAGGTTTGATTTTTTTGTTTTAGTAGAAAAAATAACTGCATGTTGTCTGTGCTGATGTGAACTATCCAGGAGAGAGAGAATTGCTAGAATGATACAGTTGAATCTGTGAGAAGGATGGAATCATGTAGACAGTAGGGGGGGTTGGCCATTGCTTGGAGCACAGAATAAGAGAAAAGGCAGTCTGGAGATGGGTCCAGTGGGGAGGTAGATGTGATGTTAGGAGCTTATGGAAGTTCTCTTCCATATACATCAGTGGCTTTCATCAGATTCTTTTATTTCGGCATCTGTGATCTTAAAGAGCCCAGGTCACTGTGAGAAGTGCCTTTATCTTCTACTTCGTGGAGAAAACAGGGAACGATTACACAATAGCTAACTAACACCGTCAGCCCACCTACCTACAAATTTGTCTGCATCCACAGGTGTCCTCATTGTCTTTCTTCCAGCCACAGAAGAACCATTACTTCTCTTACAGGAGTTTATTCCTTCTGTCTCTGTTCATGGTCTTAACTCCTCCCTTCTCCATCACGGTTTTGCCAAATTTTGTTGACCCTTGGCAGTTTCTGATTCTCCTGGACTTTTCTGGGATGCAGCATTTGACCAAATGGACCACATTCTCCTTGAGTTTTACTGCCTTGGGTTTGATGACACACCCCCAGTTCATCTCCTCCTGCTGACTCTTCTTTTTCAATCACCTTCTCTGATTTCTTGTCCTCTGTTTATACCTTTAATATTGGGGCTCCTTAAGCTTCCTTCTTTTGTTTGTTTTTCCCATTTCATGCTCTTTCTTTTGGGTTATCACTCTCCCTTCTATAGTTTTAACTACCAGAACTCATGTATTGATGATTGCTACTTTTATCTCCAGCTCCAGTTTCTTTTTGCTTTAATTGCTTGATGGACATCTCAACTTAAGTTTTCAACCTAGTAGTCTTCAAGCCTTGTGAATTGGTTTGCTATACTGTATAAGTATCTCTGACCTTGGGCAAACAAGGTGGTAGAATTTAGCAAGTCCAGGAATCTAACTCCGCACTGGAGTGGTACTCTAGGCTTAGGATTCTATTATGGTCTTATACATGTAGCAGATAATATAATTCTGTTACTTGATATTACTAGAAGCTTTTCTTATACTTCTGCCAGAATATTGTAACATCTGCCTTGAATGAACCTTCTGTGCAGGGTGCTTCATATACAAACAGGCTGTATGGCTGGTTTTTATTGATACCTAGTAGTTGTCTAATAGTTGTACAGATTTATGGGGTTCAAGTGATATTTTGATACGTGTATATAATGTGTATGATTACATTAGGCTATCCATCGCCTTAAATATTTATCATTTCTTTATGTTGAGAACATTCAAAATTTTCTCTCCTAGCTATTTTGAAATGTACAATAAATTATTGTTAACTGTAGTTGCTCTTCTGTGCTGTCAAACACTAGAACTTATTCCTTCTGTCTAATTATATGTTTTTGCCCATTAAGCAGTCTCTCTTCATTCCTCCCTCCTCCCCCTTTCCTTTCCCAGCCTCTAATAACCATCTTTCTACTCACTACCTCCAGGAGATCATTTGTTTTAGCTCCCACTTGAGTGAGAACATGCAATGTTTGTCTTGCTCTGCTTGGCTTATTTAACATAATGACCTCCAATTCCATCCATGTTGCTGCAAATGACAGGATTTTGTTCTTTTTTATGACTAAACAATATTTCATTGTGTATATGTACCACATTTTCTTTATCCATTTATCCATTGACGGGCACATAGGTTGACACTGTATCTCCTTTCTTTTGGATATATGCCCAGCAGTGGGATTACTAGATCACACGGTAGTTCCATTTTTAGTTTTTTGAGGAACCTCCATGCTGGTTTCCACAGTGGCTATACTACTTTACATTCTACCAGCAGTGTCTAACCATTCCCCTTTCTCTGCATCCTCACAGCATCTGTTATTTTCTGTCTTTTTGAGAATAGCCATTTTAATTGGGGTGAGATGATATCTCACTGTGGTTTTGACTTGCATTTCCATGATGATTAGTGATGTTGAGCAATTTTTATACACCTGTTGCCCATTTGTATATTTTTTTTGAGAATTGTCTATTCAGATCTTTTTCAATCAGATTTTTAAATCAGATTATTATTATTATTATTATTATTTTGCTATTGAATAAGTTGCTTGTGTGTTCTGGTTATTCATCTGTTATTGGATAGATAGTTTGCAATTATTTTCTCCCATTCTGTGGGTTGTCTCTTCACTTTATTGATTGTATCCTTTGCTATGCAGAAGCTTTTTAGCTTGAGTTATCCCATCTGTCTATTTTTGCTTTTGTTGCCTGTGCTTTTGAGGTCTTACCCAAGAAACTTTGCCCAGACCAATGTCCTAAAGTGTTTCCCCAATGTTTTCTTCTAGTAGTTTCATAGTTTTATGTCTTATATTTAAGCCTTTAATCCATTTTGATTTGATTTTTGTATATAGTAAGAGAGAGGGGCCCGATTTCATTTTTCTGCATATGGACATCCAGTTTTCCCAGCACCATTTATTGAAGAGACTGTCCTTTCTCCAGTGTATGTTCTTCTCACTATTATCAAAAAAGAGTTGGCTATAAATGTGTGGATTTGTTTTTGGGTTCTCTATTATGTTTCATTGGTCTATGTGTTTATGACTGTTTTTATGTCACCTGGCTAATAAATGTCTGAGACTTACTTTCATTGTAACTGTGTTACCTAGGAGCAAGTAGGTGGGGAAGTGCCCTAAAGCTGCCACTACCTTGAGTCTTTGAACTCTACAACAAACTTGACAATTGTGAGTGGCCAGTTGGCTTATATTCTTTTCTCTATCCCTGGGCAACTTTGCCCCCTGTTCTACCCAATAACCATCCAAATTGTCACTGTTTACAAAACATGTTTCATCCTAGTCCTCCTCAGCATATGACCTTGCCTCCTACTGCAAGGAGAAAAATGAAGTTATAAGATATGAATATGAATATCTACAAATCTATCTATATTTGTACTTATCCTTACTGCTTTTCCTCCTATCTTGAGAGAAAGAAGAACCCCTTCTCTTGTTTAGTGACCATCCTTCCACATGTGCTCCAGACATTTTTATTTATCTAGGAATCTTGTTTATTCTTCCAGAGCTAATGAAAACACATCCTCCTTGGTGAAAGCTTCTCTGTTGCCCTCTACCTCTCCCCATCTGCTGCACTGCTGGCTCTCTCCTTTGTGACACCATCGTGTCATGCACGCGCCTTGAGGATTACACTTATTTAGGGGTTAATAGAGGAGCTTGGAGTTAAATAAGCATTTGTCCAAATTATACCTCTTGTTAGGTTCTTGATTTGTTGGGGAAAATTACTTGAACTTCCCTGAGTCTCAGTTTTCTAATCTGTAAAATGAGCCCAGACTGCTTGGGTTCAAGTCTTGACTTTGTCACATGTTAGCTGTCTAACCTGGGCAAGTTATTTAGTCTCTCTGTGTTGAAGTTTCCTAATAATGAGAATAATACTTTGTAGGGTTACTGCTGGATAAATGGGTCAATGCATGTGAAGTGTTTAGAACTGTGCCTAGCTGGTAGTGTGTGCCAAATAAGCATTTGTTCTTACCATCATTCACATACTTACCTAAAAGAGTTGTGCAAATTGGAATAACGTAAGAAAAGCACTTAGCAAATGACTGTGATAAACGCTTAATGAATGGAAGTTGTTATCATCCTATCTGTATAACAGCTAGTTGCTTGTCTGTTTTCTCTATAAAGGTGAGCTCCTGCACAGGCAATGTGTCTTAGCAGAGTTCCTGACTCACAGTAGGTGAGCAGGAATGTCTCTTGAATGAATGAAAGAATGAAGCCTGTCACCTGGACACCTCAAACTCAACATGCCCTAAATTGGCTTTATCATGCTCACCAAATATTCCCACTAGAGCACATCATCTGCCTTGGTGACACAGTCGCCACTGCCAGACAGGAGACATCCTGGACTCCTCCCTCTGCCACACCTGCCCTGCCTAAGCAGTCAGCAAAAACCAACCACTTACTTTTAGCTCTCAAGGTCTTGCTCTTTACCACACCCCCAGGTCCACCATACGGACCCCAACACCCTCAGCTTCACTCACATGCAGGAGGTCAGTCACCTCCTAATTGTGGTTCCTGCCTTTAAGCCTTGCTCCTCTGCTTGGTATATTTCAGAAAGTCCTACTCTTACCTTTGCACTCTTAGTCTAAGTTTCTTCACCTTTAGAATGGAGATAATACTATTACCTATTTCATAAGGTTGCTGTTTGCTTAAGTGAATGATTCACAGAAAGCACCTAGTACAGAGTCTGGCACACAATAAGCACTCAGTTAAGATTGGCTTTTACTATGATTGCGTACATGATAAATACAATTCTCTGAGCCTGACATGCAAGACCTCTTGTGATCTCCTAGTCCCCGCCTGCCTGCCTAGCCCGTTCATCCACAACCCCTCTCCCACACAGATCTCTTCACTAAGATCACATGCATCCTTCCTGATCCCTGTCATGCCATGCCGTTTCACACCTCTGGTCTTCCTCTTGCCCTCACCCACCATAGTAAATCTTAAAACCCAGCTTAAAACCTCATTTCCTCTTCTGATTCTTTCCTTCCCCTCTACCAGACAGAATTATCATTTTCTCTTCTGTATCTTGTACTTGACACTTTGAATATTGGCTATAAATATATTTTCCATGTGTGTATTAGATAAAAATGTATTTAGAGGAAAAGAATGCTAGTTGAATTTGGTTTAGAAGGTTTAGATTAATCTGCTTGGAGCAGGGCTTTGACAGCTAAGAGAGGTCCTTAGAGAACAAGTGAGTGAGGCAGTTTCAGCCCTGTGATCCATTGATAGCTCAGACTGGTAGCA